GTTCTTTTTTTTTCTTTGCAGATTTTGGCCAGGGCCGAGTTTGAACCCACCACCTCTGGTATGTGGGGCTGGTGCCCTACTCGTTGAGCCACAGGTGCCACCCCCCCCACCTAGTTGTTCTTAATGGTGTCTCCCTCCAGCCCCCACCAAGGGCTGTCAGTTCTGCCTCCACACCAGGAGCCAGGCCCTGCCCCCATACATTCCCCTAACACTTCCCATGTTACCTTTCCCAAGTACACAGAGCGGTGTCACTCTAACTGAGGCCCCACTTGGTCACTGGTGTGCCCCTCCCTGCCCTGGAGGGAGCTCACCCTCAGAGGGCCACAAAGCGTGTCTGGTAGCTCACCTGTGGGTCTCACAGCACTGTGCACTAAACAACTCCAGGGCCACGGAAAATCAGCTAAGAGCATGCCACAGACACAGGCTGCAGTGAGAGAGTACTGCTGCCCTGACCCTGGGCATCTGGGGTTCCAGGGCATCTGGCTCCAGGAGAGACTAATGTCCTCCTGGTGAGGTCCTGACCCAGGGGTGCCTCCGTCAGTCCAGGACACCCGTCTGGACACAGGACCACCTGCCAGGCACCCTCATGCTTTGGGGACTGTCTCCACACGTGCTTGCCAGTCACTCAGGCTTGAATTGGGCAAGAGAAGTAAAAACAGTGTTGCTGCAGAACAGACTACACATCTTTGAAATTACTCTAAAGAGTATAGCGCTGAGACATCTGGAGAACACTTACAGAACTAAAAATGGACCATTTTTATGGTCACATACATAGACCATTTTTTGCCATTTGATCCTGCAATTCCTTTATTAGGTATATATCCAGAAGACCAAAAATCACATTACAACAAAGATATTTGTATCAGAATGTTATTGCAGCCCAATTCGTAATTGCTAGGTCATAGGAGAAGCCCAAGTGCCCATCGACCCACAAATGGATCAATAAATTGTTGTATATGTACACCATGGAATATTATGCAGCCCTGAAGAAGGAGCCTTTACCTCCTTCATGTTTACATGGATGGAACTGGAAAATGTTCTTCTTAGTAAAGTATCTCAAGAATGGAAGAAAAAGTATCCAATGTACACAGCCCTATTTTGAAACTAATTTATAGCTTTCATAGGAATGTTACAACCTAATTATAGCCTTAGAATATGGGGAGGGTGATTGGTGGAGTCACCTCTGTGGTTTATCTTACAAGGGTACAAATGAATCTTTCTAAAAGCAGAGTATGAATGACTTAATAACTAAGAACATGACATGAAGGCTACGTTAACCAGTTTGATGAGAGTATTTCAAAATGTATGTGAAGACAATGCATTGTACCCCATGATTGCATTAATGTACACAGCTATGATTTAATAAAAAAAAAAAAAAAAGTATAGCTCTGAGTCGGCTTATTTTACCTGATTGTCTTTCTTCTCTGCAGTGAAGATAGTGATCCGGGGAGACAGGAACACGGGCAAGACGGCACTATGGCACCGGCTCCAGGGCAAGGCCTTTGTGGAGGAGTACATCCCCACGCAGGAGATCCAGGTCACCAGCATCCATTGGAGCTACAAGAGTGAGTGCAGCTCCTCAAGCTGAAGTGTCCTCCCTCCCCTGCCGCAGCCACCCTCTGAGGACACTGTAGGGGGGAGAGCCCCAGGTGAACTCTGAAAGCTGGGGTCATCCTGCCACCTGGAGGTTGAATTCTCATGCTGGAGACAGGCCAGGTCAGCAGCTGCGAGTGAGCCTGGGCCCACAGGGGTGGAGGCCAGGACAGCAGCAAGCAGCACCCCATGGGAAGAGGCCTCCCCTCTGTGCCTGGATAGCTCACAGTAGCACTGAGAGATGTGTTGGGGGTGGCTTGTGGGAGGGAACAAGTCCTCCTCCCAGGTATTAGCTGAGGGGTGCTGGGGCTGCAGTGGACGGGGAGGTGCGTACAGGGTGTGGATGGACTGCAGGGGCTGCAGGAAATAGGGCAGCTCCTTGGCGTGTCCAGGAGTCCCCACAGCAAAAGGCCTCTAACATTTTAACATTTCTTCTTTTTACTGGAACAAACCTAGTGGGTGAACAGTGGGATGGGACATGTGGAGGTCTTTCAGAAGATGATTCTAATTCCCAAGAAGTGACGGGTAATACACTGCACAACCAAGGGCGTTTACTTGGCTGCTGCCCCCCAGGTGTGATGCTGGGTGTTTGGGACCCAGAGTGAGACTGGCAGACAAGGCCTGTCTGCTATGGCATCCCCTCCCACCCCTGCTGTTGGCACCCTGGCTGCTAGCAGGCCCCAGAGCAGAAGATTGCTGCTGAGGACGGGCAAGGGAGCATGGGCAAGGGGCCGCTCTCACGAGGCCATGAAGAGGGAACCCACAGCGCCCAGAAAGCCTGTGCAGAGGACCTGGCTGGATGAACATGGATGTAGGGGGCAGTTGTTATATCCTACTTCCCACAGAATGACCTGGTCACTGGGTGAAGAAACAGGGTCAGCAGGACATGACTCAGGCAAGCAGTTACCTTCAAACCTGTCCTGTGGGCCTGCAGTGGGCCTGTCAGGTCCAGGTACCAGGATCTAAGGGTGAGAAACCAAGCTGTAGGCCCTGCCCTGGCACAGCTTAACAATGGAAAACAGA